CCAGGATGGTCTCGATCTCTTGACCTCGTGATCCACCCGCCTCGGCCTCCCAAAGTGCTGGGATTACAGGCTTGAGCCACCGTGCCCGGCGGAAAATGTAATTTCATTGTAATGTGGGAAAATCGAGGCTGTGGCCAGGGGGAAGGCCAGCATTTGGGTTCAATTGCAAGTTAGTGGACAGGAGAGGCCCAGTCCATCACCCATGTCCCCATCCCAAACCACCCCAACCACGTGGAAAACTGGCCCACCTGGTATCTTGCTCGATGGGCCTCCTCAGGGTGGAAGCAGTTTTGACAGCAGTTCTGGGTGAGCATGTTGGCCTCAAAGTGTTCACATGGAGCTCTCCCAGATACCTCCTCCATGTTGGGTGAGTCAGGCCAGGGCCGTTCCTGTGATCCAGCGGCCGACCCTCTAGGTGAGGCCTTGGGAAAATGAGGGGGAGGCAAAGACCAGATGACTGGCTGGTCACTCACCTGAGCACCAGCCCCAGTTGCCCCAGTTTCTAGACAAGGACCAAGGAAACAGGTTATTCAATCATTACTTTGGATGTTCCTGTTCTCCATTCATCCCTGTTCATTTATTCACTCAACAAACACTCACTAAGCACCTACTAAGCACCCAAGCACTCACCAGCATTTGATGTGTGATTTCTAGTCCTTAATGCAGTGTTGCTGAAAGTGTGTACCAAGGGCTCTGCATTACACCCTCCTGGGCTGTTCATAAAAATGCAGATTCCAGGCCAGGCACCGTGGCCGACGCCTATAATCCCAGCACTTTGGAAGTCTGAGGTAGACAGATCACTTGAGGTCAGAATTTTGAGACCAGCTTAGACAATATGGTGAAACCTGACCTCTATTAAAAATATAAAAATCAATTGGGTGCAGTGGTGGGCGCCTGTAATCCCAGCTACTTAGGGAGGCTGAGGCAAGAGAATGGCTTGAACCTAGGAGGCGGAGGTTGCAGTGAGTCTAGACCTTGCCATTGCACTCCAGCCTGGGCAACAGGGTGAGACTCTGTCTCAAAAAA